GGAAGGAATTCGCTTAAAATAAATAGACAAAACTTGTCTATATTATTTAATGAAACATGCATTAATGAAAAAATGCTGCGTAACTAAACACACACACACTATATATATATATATATATATATATATTCGATAAAAGATAAAGCAAAATTTAAAAAAATATATATATATATATATATATATATATATATATATATATATATACTTTTTAAATTTTGCTTCATCATGTATCGAATGTTTCTAGATATAAGAGTGTGTACAAAATAATAAACACTGTATGTTGAGTGTCATTTTCAGGAAGAGATGATCACTTAACGCATAAAACTGCATGCAGTGTTGTTAATTTCTATAAATATGCATGCAGTATTGTTAATTTCTACTTTCACACTGCTTCTCCCTTTATCTCCAAACACACACACACAGATATATATATATATATATATATATATATATATATATATCATAAAGTTCAATCTGCTTTTAAGGCTCTCGGTTGATAGTTTGTATACCATTTGTCTTAAATCAATGAAAGTCATGTTATCAAACCATATTTTAGGGTGGGGCTATTCAAAACCTATCACCACATTGTTTACATTTGACTGTATTTCAAATGCCAGTTATAAATTTATCAGACTGGATGTCATGAAAGGGTACATTGGGAATCGTATAGTTTTATAGGTAATAATAATAATAATAATAATAATAATAATAATAATAATTATTATTATTCAAATCTGCAACTTCTACGGGAAGAAAACTGAAAGAAACTGGTATGAACACCAACCAGACCCGGTTACGGAGATAGGACCTGTTACAATTCTATGGGGCTACACAATACACACTGACAGAACAATCAAAGCCACCCGCCCAGATATTGTTAATAAAGACCACAAACAAAAACGGTGCCTCCTTGTTGATATGGCAGTCCCTGCTGACCGCAATGTATCTTTGAAGATATTCAAAAACTGTCAAAATACAAGGACCTTGAAATAGAAATCTCGAAAATGTGGAACATCAACAATCCCTGTTGTAGTTGGAGCCCTAGGACTGGTTGGAAAAGATTGCAGTAGACTAATTGAAGGGATTCCTGGAAGGCCATGCCTCAGGAAGATACAAAAAATTGTTCTGACATGTACAGCCTACACTTTACGAAGGGCTTTATCTATGTAATTTTTTTTTTTTTTTTTTTGTCAGTGGAAAGTGTCCTGATGCCATTTCTAACCTTAGGTCTCTGGGCGGGACCCGGAAAGAAATGTGTAAACGCCAGAAGTCAAAGAAAATAAAAATAATAATTATTCATTGAATAAATTCTGTAAACTCAATCTTATCTTTATTACTGTCTTTTTTTTATATTAGAGATTATTTTATAGAATCAAAAAATAATAGCACTGGTCCTCCTACATTGAAGAGATTTAAGGTAAGTCCAGGTAAAAGATTGATTTTCTTAAATGTTCTAACTCCAGGTATTTAAGAAAATTCGATTTTTCCTGAAAACAGATGAATGTCGAAACCATGAAATAAATAAACAAAAAGAAAAATATAAAAAGAAATTAATTTACTTCAATTGTTTTAATATTTAGTCTCATAAATGCATTAAAGTGATCGAAATGTAACAATTTCGACTTTTCCAAAAGACATGTCTTCCAAAAGACATAAATGTTTTCCGAAAATTAATAATACTTAAGATTTCAATTATATATATTCAGTTTTTTTTTAATGAAATTGATGGAATAAATGAATAAGTATATATATATATATATACTAGAATGAACATAATCAATATGACCATTGTTATCAGTAGCATCATGTTTCGATCTTTAATGAATTAGAATAAAACTTACATACACACTGAGTATTTTTAATAACATTAGAGAAAAAATATCCTAGTATGATGATGTCGCTTATTTCTGCAATAAAATAAATTCATTTTCGAGGTAAGTTGTTTGAGAAAGTTTATAAAACCTCCCCGGTTGGTAATCGAACAGCGGTTTGCGAAATGAGAGGCGAGGTATACCACTATACTACGAGCATTACCAGACAGAACTTCATTACATTCACTTTTGCACAAATAAACTTTACCCGCATTTCTGTTTGGCTTTTGATTTATTTAGTTTGCGTCGATACAGTTAGTCCACTTTTTTTAGTTTCATTAACATTAAAGCACTATTCAGCTGAAATGAATATTTTATGCACTTAATTCGGAATCAACTTTTGAGACGTCTAGCTATGGAGTTAATGACTAATGAGCTTGTCTGATTTATCCTTTATAAAAAATTAGACCAACACTGGGTGTCTGTTATTTGCCTCACTAGGTGTCTGTTATTTGCCATTTTAGTCAAAAATAATATTTAATTCTGTTGTTTATGCTTTTTGATTTATTTTGTTAGTTTTAAATTGTAATGGTAATATTAAGAAACTTTCGGCATTCATTGGTGGAACAGTTGGCAATACTGTCGGTTATAATTTAAACAATCTTTCTGTTAAAACAGTTTTACAGGAAAATATATTTCTCAAGTCTAATGCTGTTATTCTTTCTAGTAATCCTAGCCGTTTCCTTCCTAACTTTTTGTTTAATATTTTATGGGGTATAAATCAAACAAAATACCTTGGATGTTTATTTAAAAACCACTTAATCATATTTATTACAGGAGCCCAAATAATTCAAAGCTATGATCTTCATGTCTAAAATGGTAACGTTCATTATATTGCAGGTTTTCACTGAAAAGCATCCTGCCCTTATTGACAAGGGTTCTATGCTAATATATTTCTTATGACTACTACAGTTTGCCTTATAATTAAAAAAGAATGTAAAAAAACAAAAGAAAATCAATAGAGCTAGAAAAATTGCAAATCTTCCACCGATACCATAGATACATATTTAAACAAACGTAATCATAAGTATTTCGGATGCCGATTTTATAGATTAGGAGGACACAATCATTTGACCGTAATCCTCTGCGCTACGCATATCTTCATTCTGTACTAAGAGCAAAGAAGATAACTTAGTTCAGAATCGTATAATCAATAATTTTACTCTGTATAGTAAAAAGTCTAGTCACTTGTGTCAGTAAATAATTCTTACTAACTCTACCCAGCACGGTCTTTTTCGGTCGTTGTGTTATTTATCTATTTTCGCAGAAAATATGTCTACATAAATGAATAGTTTGTTTGCTATATCTTCGCGCGTCCTTTGCCTTCAATATACATTGCGAATGTGTATGTTATTTTTATTATATAAAAATTTATATATAATGCTTAATATTTTATTAGTTAAATTGAGACTTCGGTAACTTAATCATCGAAGAACATTTCCTAATCGTATAATTTAATTGGGCGATTGATTCAACCTTTGCGAATATATTAATACGCAGATAACTGCGCTTTCTATTTTACACCTGTATATATGTATATGTGTACCAATACGTATGGTTATGTGTGCGTGTGTACGTGTGGAACATAACTAACATTTTCTCTAATTCCAGACATGGCACGATTGATTTAATTATGGAAGATACACGGTGTATTGAAATAGTTAGTAGGATAAACTGATATGAAAAATAGAAAAATAAAAAACAACAAAAAAAGCAAAAAACGAAGAATACCTACAAGGGATGCAGCTAATACTTTAAAGGTGTTTACGTTAACGTCTTCAGAGACAGGAGCCTTTCTTAAGGCATATTTTTAAACTTTGCCTTTCTTTCAATTTACAGTAGATGGGAAAAAGAAAGAGTAGATAAAAACATTCGATTTTCATGCTCTGCCAATTTCACAGTGATATATTTCAAGTGAGTTAAATATGACACAAGGCCACATTTATGAGCACGCAATGAGATATGAACAAAAGTAATAATAGCTTGACAAAATGCTTTTTTTTATCTGTACTCCAATGTCAGCATATTATTCATTGAAGCCACTTGGATTAATCAATATAATAACAATTTTTCGGTTAAATGAAATTCACTTCAGGAATTCTTGTTATTTAAGTACCAAGTCGTTGCAGACATAGCGCTCTACATCTTTTTCTAATTCAATTATCTTAATTCTTAATTATTTTCAACCACTTTTTATGCCAGATCTGCCATTCATTCATATTGGTAACACAACAATCGCACTCTCTTGTACGTTAGCTTTTCGTTTATCCAAATTTACTGCAATTCATATACGTATCGATAAACACATCAAAAACAAACCAAAATATAATTATTAACATAAGACAAATATTAGAAGATAATACTAACATACACTACAGAAATCATTGTAGACAAAGATACAAAATACTTGAAGCTATGATTATATAAAAACTACCTCACATTAATCAACATATATTTCAACGGAACGACATTTCAAAATGAGTTTCAACAATTCAACAAAATGACATAAACTAGTTAAGTTGGTTATATGCTATTTTTTCTTGTTTATTCAATGAGTTTTAAGTTTTCCAATCGTTGTTTCCTCATTACGTGTCCTAGATATTTAGTTTTATTCTACTTCTGTGATAAAGCATGTTTCAGTGTTCCTATTTTCCATTAAGACTTCTTCGTTGCTAAAATATTCTGCCAATTTGATTCTTAACATTTGTCTGTAGAACCACATCTTCGCTTCTTCAAAACTTTCCTTTATCTGCAAGAAAACTGTCTAGCATCTTCTGCATCTAGGAAATTAGATATTACATCGCAGTCCAGCACTTTTATATTTCTAACGATATTTCACTCTTTAAATAATTTTCTTAATTTCTGGAAGGCATCATTTGCTATTCCTATAAACTTTAGACTTCTGTCTCACATTTTCCATCTTCAATTTCAAAATTGTGAATTTCTGTGTTTACTTGATTTTGAAAATCTCCTCTAAGTAGTTCTCTCCGTTTTTCTCTCCTTTTTGCTGACAACCATGCATCAAGAAAACAGAAAGCACTACTAACTCTTTCTGTTTTTCTTGACTAATTTGTTGTAGAGTTCTTTCAAACATATATGTACATAGGCGGATCACTTTTTTTGTTTGCTCGCATGAGTGTCTCAGCGGGTATAGACAAGAAAAAGAGCTTGCATTGGATTGGATTTTTATGTTTTTCGTTCGGCCTCTGTAACTCTAGATTCTGTTCTACTGTTTGAGATTTACAAAGCAATTCACCCAGGCGCCGAGGATTTGTCTCTCAGACCGCATTTACCTGTATCATTTATATGGGAAGTGTTCATTCTTTATAATTAGGCATTGGTTACACTTTATTAGAATGAATTTGTCAGTAATAATATCTGTGAAACCAGATCCTTCTGGGAGCGACATCAATCTATAATGACTGAAAACTATGATCTGGCGTCAAACTAAGCATTGCTCAGTTATTAACCGTTACCATTTCCGAAGAATCGCTTTGTTTTGTACAGTGGCATAAATGCGAAGCAATATTTCTGAGTCTTTAATTAATTTCAGAAGTGATTTCCAGGAATAGCTTAATATCCATTCCTTCAAGGTGAAGAAGCAGTACATACTTACTAAACTTAAATGAGTTTGTCCTATATTCTCTTAATGCTAATAGTATTCGAAATTAGTTGCCTAATAATTTCATCATAGGATACACTCTTCAAAAACGAATGAATAAGTACACATAACTCTGGTAGAGGAAATTTAGTAAAGCAGGGAGAGAATATAAAACTGATTTTACTACATTGCAATCAGGCGAGAAAGTGACAGTCATTAAGCAGCGATATTTCATTTATCCATATCTATCTATCTATCTCAGTCAGTCTTCTATCTATCTATCTATCTATCTATCTATCTATCTATCTATCTATCTATCTATCTATCTATCTATGCGTGTACACGCGTGCGTGTGATGGTTAATAGAGTTCATTCAAAGTGTCTTGGAAGCAACTGGGTCCACTATACAAAATCCTTCTCCCCCTACTTCTATCACAGGTCACTATCTCCCTGCTGTAATCGTTAATTTTACATAGTACTAATGCTAATCTTTTACACAATCTTTGAATCGTTCTTCAGCTTATGCTGTGGGTGAACAAAAGCAGTTCCCCATACAGCTGTTACTTAGAAATGCGGTCTTCGGCAAGCTGAATGTTTTGATCCACACGATGAATGTGTGCTTCGATGCTGATTGAGTTGTTTTTCCCCAATACCTCTGTGTCTGAAAATGCGGGGTATTCAGTTAAAATCTAGCATTAATCTTCAGCTATACTAAGAAAAACGGTTTAGTTGTAACAGATGGCTCCCGCAATTGGCACATTTTTTTCGGTCCACAATGACACCAAATGAAGTCTTTCAAGGTAGAGAAAGCGCGTCTTGCTTATCTATCTATCTATCTATCTATCTATCTATCTATCTATCTATCTATCTATCTATCTATGTGCGTGCCCGTGTGTGTATGTGTGTGTATATGTGTGTGTGCATGTAGATTTAGGTCAACACCCACAGGCGACAGACGTTTTCATGCTTACACGCAATATTCAGGACATGTGTATTGTGTTTTGGCTCGAATATTTGTATATACTTGTCAATAGTACATGATAAGTATAATGTGTATTTACATACGCTCTACCCTTGTATTGTGCACTTTAATCCAGAAATATAACATAAGTTAAAACTATATATTTCTCATATATATATATTTGTGTCTAATGAATTTTTTTTCGTTTCTTAGTACTTTGCTTAGCTTTTGAAAGGCATCTACTACCGCCTCTTCGGATATCAGTGTGGCGCTTTGCGTCTTTTGTTAAAACTCTTTCTAGATATTTAAATTAATTTACTTGTTTGATTTTGATATCTCCAATTTGCAATTTTCATGTTGGATTGTTCCTTTTGCTAACAACGAAAGATATTAGAATATTCCAGAACAAGTACTGACATTAAACTGCCTGCATACGGATAGAAAATATGTCCAGTAAATATACAAAAATCGAAAGGTTCTGTCTTCTCACCGGACTTATTCAATCTATACAGATTCTGAGAGAATTAGAATTCGTATTAGTATACATTGTTTGCGTCCAGAGTTTTAACAACGTAACTTACGATATACAAATTTTAATTATTATACAACAAAATAAAAATTAGTATAAATTATGTACGAGTGTAAATTAGAAAATAAAGGTAATTTTGAAATTACGCGATAAAACCAACAAGGAGGGACTGACGCGCGATACGACGCGTGCGAAAAATTTGAATGAAGTCTCCCCAAACCCATATTATCATGGTCAGATACGAACGCCAGTGTGGCTTACGGCCATATCACGTTGAAGAACTGGTTCCTGTACGATCAGCGAAGTTACGGATTAATGATTTTTCAAAGAGAAATTGATGGAAAATTTTATTTCAATAATTTCCGAATATTTTGCCTTTAAAAATAAAGTAAAGCACTTTGTATTTTCATAATTTTACGCCATTAATAAAAAAAATAGAATTTCAAAGCCAACATTTTTCCTATAGGACCATTTAAAAAAATCTCAGGCGAAAATGTGGGTGTAAATCACCATGTTCAAATTCACTGTTATAGATCCTAATAACAGGGTGATTTCGATCATTGAAATATGTCTCATATAGAACATAATCTGATTTTGAAAAACATGTAAGTAATCTTGGATGAAAACGAAATTACATCTCGCATATACTAATAAATATTTTGTTTGGCCGATTCATTTTCTTTAAACTAATTTTAAATCTTTATATATATACTGCCGTCAGAGATATCGATCCAAGATGGAAATTTACCTTGCTTGAATCTCAGTTCCTATTAAGAAGTTGTTACTGTATAGGTAATCCGTTGAAGTATCATATACCTGAAACATTTGATCATATACATCAATCAAGTGAGGAGAAAGTGATCAACCGGTCACAAATTTCATTACTAACCATTAATATGCTGGTTGGCATTTCGACAAATGATCCGCATTTCCTCGTTTCCTCGCCAGATACCATATGTAAACTAAGTTGCTTAACCTTTACCAGATTTACTGAGCTGCTGTGAGTTCCTGTTAAATTTCGATAACTAGTAAACTGAGTTTATTTCAAGTAGTACGATCGAATCGACCGGTGATATATTGGTCGAAACATTAGCAGTAGATCTAGAAAATAGATAAAGAGTTTATTTTACACCTGAAATAGCTGAAGCACAGGCAATGAATACAAGAGAAACAACTTTAACAGATTTCTTCAAACTCTGTTCAAATGATCCATTTGCCAAAATATTATATTACCACGAGGTACCATTATATTACACCTGGAATAAATCGAGTAAGAATTGAAACAGAAGAAAAATCGGATCACTAGGCAATTCAAATATCAGATTTGGTAATATACTTGGTCGTGTATATACAGTGCATTCAAATGATCCGGAATGTTGTTTAAGAATGTTGTTGCATGGCTTTCAACGTCCAGTGTCTTTTGAGGACCTTCAGATGGTTGATGGAATTGTTTACACGACTTACAGAGAAACATGCGATAAAAGAGGACTGCTTGAGGATGATAATCAGTGGGATGCAACACTCTCAGAGGCATCAGTGTCTAATACTGCAAAAAGTATTAGATCTCTTTTTGCTAACATTTTTAAAACCGGCAGAGTCAGCAACCCTAAAGGCCTGTGGAATACATTTAATGATGATCAATCTGAAGTCTCAGGTATAGCTGAGATTGTTTATTACTTCAATAAAGTTATAATTATCCACTGTTTGATACTGAAAATCGAATCTTGGCAATGGGAGGTGATGAGTTACCAAAATATGGATTTGCATAGAGGCTGTCAGAGGTAAAGGTAACCGATTAACAACATATTATCTAAGAGAAATAATGTAATCCAAAACAGATGACTATATTCAAAATCATATTGGGATACTCAATGATGAACAAAAACAGTCACAATCACGTACCAGAAAGGAGGTATTTTCCGAGATGCTCCAAGTGGAATTGGGAAAACTTTTGTAACAACTTTGATAGTGACCAAACTCAGAAAAGAATGCAGAATTGTCCTTGCAGAAGCATGATCTGGAATTGCTTCCACTTTACTACCAAGGGGTATAAATGCTCATATTGCATTCAAACTTCCACTTGATATTTATACGAATGAAATATCAGTCTCTGACATTATCAAAACTTCTGGGATGGTAGAAGTTATAAGACAATGTCACTTGATTAAATTTGATGAACGAACTATAATGGATAAGAGTACTCTGAAGGCTATTGATTGAATTTTACGAGATAGGAGAAACAGTCAGTTTCTGATTGGAGGAGTCACCGTACTTTTATCCGGAGTTTTCAGACAAATCCTTCCAGTTATACCAACAGGAACAAAAGCTGATGAGTTTCAAGCATGTTTGAAATCTTTCAGACTTTGGCAACATGTCAAAACCATAAAACTGAAAATATATTCGAGAGCTTTACTGTCTAATAATCGAATGTCTGAAGAATTTTCCAAAAGATTATTTTTCCCAACTGATGTAACAATTCCTTTTAGTGATTGCATTTTTCACTAAAACTAAACTTTTTAATGACCATGAATAAATCCCAACGACAGATCTTCTCAGTTGCTGATTTACATCTTGATGAATCATGCTTTTCCCATGGACAACTTTATATTGCATGTTCATGAGTTGGAAGCAAAAATAATCTGTGTATTTTCACTCCATCAAGAAAAACAAAAAACATTGTTTATAAAGAATTTCTTTCATGAAGTTGTTTCAAAGATCATTCTCAATTTTGTTGATCATTTTTTGTTCTTATATTGGAATCATTTTATAAATTTAATTTGAATTTGCATACTGTAATAAATTATAATTATTTAAGAAGATAATTAGAAAATTGTATTTGAATCGTTATATATTTATGTTTTTAGGTTCTTGTTTTGTTTGATTTTTCTTCTAATTTTAGAATATTGAATTTAAATATTTATCATTACATATTAAGATTAGAGTAATTTTTACGATAATTAGAATATTTTATTTGGACTGTTATGCTTTCATGTGTGTTATGATTTTGTGTTAATAAAGAAGTATATAAAATGCTTACATTTTTATGCGGTAGGTTATTTCATACCAAGCACTTCTGCTAGTATATATATATATATATATATATATATATATATATATATATATATATATATATATATATATATATATATATATATATATGTCTGTGGGTGTCTGTGAGTTATAAAGAAGGAAAATATCTCATTTTAAATACAAAATAAAAGAAAATGATATGAGATATAAAATAATTTTTTGATTAAGAAATAAAACAAGAAATACAATTAATATTATTTAACAGATGAGCCATAAATTCCAACGCAAATTTGCAAATAAAGATAATTAGATCTCTATTTATTTTAATTTTAACTATGAATTCATTAAAAGAACATATATTTTGTATTCACGTAGTCAACATGCAATCATATGTGCATTAATTTGGATTAATAATTAGCCATATATATTACTAAAACAACTGTTACATCTCTAAATTATTTTACTTCTAGGCCCGTCTCTATGGGCTGAACCCCAACCCCTAAACTTTTTATTCTTCCATTTGTGAATGTGACTCAAACTAATTTTAATGCGAAACATGGGCTTCTAAGAGTCGGTCTCTTCTTGACATGATACCATTGCAAATGGAATTACTGCCCGTCTCATTGACGACATACTTCTGATCCCTTGCACCGCTTCTTCGCCACGTAATTCCGTTTTGTGTGTTTGAGTATAACACTCCTGATTTATATCCTGTATATATGTATGTAAATTTATAGAAATGATTGATTTTAATATGGCTGACTATAAAATGTTTATGTGAATAAATATCTCTCTGAAGCTGTTCAAACTCTCTTTTTCTTTCAGTATGATGCTTATCGATATCATAATGCGATTGTACCATAGTTGTAAAAGCATCTTGCAGGGTATTGCCCTATGCGCATTTTGTAAATCCTGTCTAATGAGAAAGAGATTCAGTGATCCAAGTTCTTTAAAGTCATACGGAAAATGCCCGGAAGTAATGACATAATGAGGAAATTAGGATTAGAAAGCGACATTGATCGTCGAGAAAGGAACAGATCAATTGTGGTTTCCTAATAGACGAAGAAAGTCTGTGAAGCGAAGTCAATAGCGTTTGTAGAAAATAAAAAGAAAGTCGGCGACAGTAAAGAAAGGAGAGCGGGTCATAGAGAGTTAAACAATAAAAATATTGTGAATGACAAAAGCAGAATGGAAAGATAAAGATTCAAATGTACAGAGTGTAATCGAAATTCAAAGAGAAATAGAAGAATGCACAGAAACACAATAAAATATACAGAGAAATATTGACGCGGAATCACAAACACACACGCGCACAAACGATAAACATAAATGCCATCTATAGAAACTCTCATAAAAAGAGTAACAGACACAGAGAGGAGTATATACAGAAACATACACATAGATATATATTATTTATTTGAAATTATAAAAAAAAATTCTTCTAAAATCGCTTCACAAATGCAATCGTGTTTCAGCACTATAAGTCTAACGGTTGCTTTATTTCCTTTCTCCTCCACCCTCTTCTTTTTTTCCCCGTCACCATGTCTTGCATGGATTGTTGAACAAGTTATCACTGTTCGTTGATATTGATACTATCCGCTGACAAATTTTATGTCTGACATAAGTAACCATGTTGAAGTCTCTGTTTTGAGTTAGCTTATGTCATCGTCAAAATATTTTATTCTTGCTTTCATCTTTATATTTTATATTTTTATGCTATTTTAATGGGTTAAAAAGAAATAATACAATAAACTTGACACTTTGTTAGCATTTAAGTTCAATTATTTAAAATAAATTGTACAATTAATTTTGATCTTAATATATATCTAAAATTTGATTGATTAATATAGGTCGTCACCTAGCCTGTTTATAATCTTTAAATTTTGCTTTCCCTTTGGACGCAATCTTCTGACCTGAGGATTGAGTTCAGGCATGAAACTGACTATTGCCACTCGGAGTTGAACTCGGTGTCCATTTTTATATCTATATACGCTCTATCCCACATATACATATTTAAGCTATTAATATATAAATATTTTTATCATGATATATATATATATATATATATATATATATATATATATATATATATATATATATATAAATTGATATAAAAGAGAAAAAGAGAGAATGAGATAAGGAAAGAAAGAATGAGAGAGCTAATGTGAAAGAAACGAAGTATATAGACAGAGACATAAGACTGCTTTTTAAAGGAATCTACTTTTCGACGGGAAAATACTTATGCTGGAATTGCATTGTCATTAAATTTAGCATAACTCTTTTGATAGAAAAATATTTTCAAAACTGGCACCGATGTTAGGACCGACATTTTTCAATAGTTTTCGTGGGTGATACAGGGAGGAAAGGTAAAACATGGTAAAATAATTGGAAGATGAGATCAAATTTATTGAAAAAAAGAAAATAGAAAATATATAAATTAACAGAAGCGACAGAGAAAAATCGAATAATGGAAATTAAAATGGACTAAAATAAGAGGCGAAAAATTGTTGAGTTTTAAAGAAATATAAATGAAATTGCTGAAGTGAGTAGAGAAAGGAGAAGATGACCGAAGTAGAAAAGAAAAATTAAAAGCGAAGTCGAAGTTAAAAAAAAAACATTCAAAGTAAAGACGAAGATAGCAAATGGAAACATGCCCGCTCAACAAATAATGAAAAGAATGTGTTGGTTTCAATACTGATTGTCTTAATTTTGGGATATTCTGCAAGGAATTTAAATAAATCAAATAATGAATTTGCATATTTAAATTAACATCAAGCTGAATTTGACATATTACCAGAGAGAATTTGATAAATGACATTGCTTGTAGGACGAAAATTGAAAGGAAAAATTCTCTTCCAAAAGACAAAAAGAAGGCTTATGAGTAAATTAATAAATGAGAAGCTATGACGGGTAAAGTATTGGAATCGATTCCAAAAAATATTGAAATAAAGTAGAAACCTTTCTCTTATTGTTT